TATTAGCTGGAGCCTTTTAAATAGGAAAACTTCCATGACAGAGTTGGGTGGAAATAGGAACTGGCGGGTCATGCCAACTGGAAATGCTAGGAGTGGCATTCTGCCAGAGTCGTATCCAAACTTTGGTCCAGTGTGTGTAGAGTCTGGGTGCTGAGATGGTAAGAGCAGAGATAAACTCATGCAGTGCTTCATTCAGGCAGCACAGTGAACTTATCAAGATGATCAGATATGAGAGTGGATTGTTAAGCTTTGGGAATCCTCACTAGGAGGCTGGTGTTTGTCAGCTATACAGCAGAGGGACGTCCTTCTGCATCACTGTTTTTATGATTTGGACTAAGTTTGTCCAGCACTGCTGTGAAATACAACAGTGAAAGAAATCAGCACTTACTGATGCTGATATTTAGAAGTTCAACAATTTTCAGTTAGGTCATCTGGACAGTTTATTTTTTGTGCTGAAACATTTCACCTTCCATCTAGAAGGCTTCATCAATCAAGGAAACACACAACACAAAACTGATTCTTCCCCCAAACAGCTTACTCCAAATTGGAACAAACCAGTCATGTTGGTGCTAAAATGGTGTTTTTGGCATGCCCCTTCCTCTGGTGCTGGCCCTCTTCCTCGTCGACAGTCATGTCAAACTGGTTCAAAGCCAAAACAGTCCATGCTTAATAATCCAGGTATACAATCCAACAATTTTCAGTCAGGTCATCTGTACAGTTTCTTTTTTGTGCTGAAACATGCCACTAAATATTTAGAAGTTATATCTGGTACAGAAATAATTGTGACTTTTATCACCATTTTAATTGTTGAGAACATTATTGCAACAAAGCAAAATGTATGTTAAGGTCTGTTAAGAGCCTTTTTTTAAAAGCAAAAACTCTGTTTTTGGCATTTGATATTTGATTTTAATGACAAAAATGACAACCCATTCTGTGCTAAATGCATTTTGGTCTTTTTGTTTGAGCTAGGCTTTGTTTTTAACGTTGAGATAGACCCGAGCATCTCTGCTAATGATGTTTTCTCAGGATTGGGTATTCTGTAACAACTTGTGTAGCATAGTGGTGGAAAGTAGAACTTTTGGTGGACATTTCAGAGCCAGAAAAGGATGTCATGGGCAGAATTGTATTTTTCTTAATGAATAGAACGATCAGTAGTGCTTTTGAATTTGACATGATGGCACAGGGAGTGACATTCAGGAGGTCTGCCTCAGTTAACTTTAGCCCCTGTTGTTCACTACTGAAGAAAATTGAAGTAAATACTTGAACATTAAAGAATAGTGGCGTTACTGCACATAGGTGTGATGTGGCTGCTGAATGTATTGGTCCACCAGGACTTGGATAAACCTTTGGACACTGATGGATTTAGCCTCAGGACACCTATATTCACATAATCACATGGATGTTGTTTGGTTGAGAAACAATTATGTGCAGTGGTTAATTTGAGCCGGATCCTGCCGGAACAAGATCCGGGAACTCTCTCATTTTGACCTGTTCTGTTCCGGCAACTCTTTGTTCGGATCCGGCAGCTCCGCCCCTAAAAGTCCAAAGTCATTGTGCTTTTTTATTTTGATTATTTATTAAAAATAGAACGAAGAGACGTTGCCCTCAGCCCCGCGGACCCAGTCTGTGGATATTCCAGACGCAGCACGCGAGGCGAACCAGCTACACGCTCCTTCAAGGAGCAGGAGAGAAGCCTCTTGGCAGGGTGGGAGGGGGGAGGTGAGGACGGATCAGATAGTCACATTTACGCACAGAGGTGCTGCGCAGAGTCCTTGTCTCCTCCTCCTCTCCAAATATTGTCCCTAGTCAGTGTGGCTGCACTGAAAAACACCCCCCTCTCCTCCTTTCAGACCACCGAAACAGAAATGATCATTTATTCAACAAAATAAATAAATTCCCCGTGCACAGTGCACGTTACGCACAGCGTCTTCAATCTCTACCCAGTGCGCGCGCATAACATCAGCAGGTGTCTGAACTCCTGCTATTTCAGACGTAATAAATAAAAAAGTTTACTGTAAAAAAATAAATTAAAAATACAAAGATAGAAATGCTTGATGTGTTATTCACATTATACGTCACGTTTCAAAACAACGGCGCTAATTTGTCCAAATAACAACAACGATCCAAATGTCAAAGAGACAGTCCAGTTTACTTTATAAAAAATGGATGGATGGATTGATGGATGGATGGTTGGATTGATTGCTTGATTGTCCTTAGTTGGACAACAGAGAATTGAAGCCTTCAGGTGCTTCAAACGGTGCCACGAGACTGGAGCAAGAGCAGAGAAGAGTTCAGCTCAGAACCATGAAGTGAGGGGAGGGAGGAGGGGGTTTAAGACGCCTGACAGAATCGGAGCTGCTGCACACAACCTGCTGTTCCTCTCCAAAAATAGTAATTTTATTAAGTGTTTACAAATGTAGGTAAATGTTGATGTATAACAACCTGTTAAAATACACCAAAATGCAGGAAATGGCATCTCTGTTATTCAAAATTTTTTGTGAGAGGACCCATGTACCCCCCCCCCCCCCCCCCCCCCCCCCCCCCCACACACACACACCTGCTTGTTGTTCTGGCATCAATCAGTTTACAAATTAAGCCCTGATTATGTGAACATACAGCAGCAAACTAAGAGCTAAAACAATCAACGAGTCAACACCTGAAACAAGAAGTATGTGAAGTGTTCCTAAAGAGTTTCCACAAAGAGTACAGGACCTAAAAACCTGTACTGAGACTGTTCTGTGGGCACACTGTACATGCTGAGTCTCCAACTTCTGTGATATATGTTGGCACTCTTGCAAAACAACACCACATCACTGATAAAAAACTGGGTTACATCTGGTGTGACTTTTCAAATATTATCAAACTAACAAGTTTGAAAACTAACTCCTTTTTCATTAAAATAATACAATAATAACAAATGTGAGATACTTCCTCTGAAATGCTCCACAAGGTCCAAGAAACCTTATAAATCCCAAAATCATAATCTAACATGTCTGAACAGAGCATAAAAATAAACAGTACTACTAAAGTACTTTACAGTGAGCTGTGTTTGATGTGGCTGATCGGTCCGATGTGAGCGTGGCAGTCTTCAGCAGAGCAGATGAATGTGGAGGCTCATTGTGTCGTCTGACTGCGGGCTGTCTTTAGTTACTGCTTTTCATCATACTGCTTTCTGAGGGATGATTCAAAGTGAAAGATGCCTTCCTTCACTGCGCACTTTCGTGAAGTTTTCTCTGTGGCAGTGTCTTCCCATGTTTGCAAATGGATGTTAGGTGTTTTAATGTTCCGATTGCACACACCCGCGTAGCATAGCTTTGGTCTTCCAATTGGGTGTTTTCCCTCCTCAAGTTCTCTGTAAAGAATGTCCTTGGGTATTTGCCTATCATCCATATGGACAGTATACCCAAGCCATCACATGCATCTCTGTATAATAAGGATGGCGACCATGAGGATGCCAGCTCTCTCCAGGACAACGATGTTTGGCACTTTGTCATGTCAGGTGTAGCCAAGGATACGTCTGGCATGGCAAAGCTTTTCTGCCGTCGTTCTTGGTGGGATGGCAGGGTCTACGACTCAATGCCATGCCACTTTATATTACTACAGTAATAAACTATTAAACGTTTGTATCTTTAAATTCACTCTACAAAAATAATACTTTTCAGGGGTGCCTACAGAAAAATTTCAAAGGGGTATCCAGATTGGAGCCATTTATAATCTTGGGGTTACACACAAAAACTAAAAGCCATGACAGATTTTTCTGTGTTTATTCGTACTCATCTGCTCACACAGGCTCATGTTCATGCTGCTGTTGTTTGGCGTATTGTTTTTGTACAACTAGTGCTTAGTGTATTCTTAGTTTAGCGTATTTCTTAGTTCATATCTTTGATCTTATTACTGTTTTTCTTTACAATTTATACTTTTGTTGGATGTAACTGGGACCCTGTGTACACAATTTCGTTCCACCAAATGTACCACATATGATGTGAATGACAAATAAAGAAACTTTGACTTTGATTTTTAGTTTTTATTCTGTTGTCATAAAAGGCTATTTGAAAAATACTACATTAAGGAGTCAGGGCTGGCCATTGATAACCCCCACCCCACTGACTCTCACCAGGTGGCCCCTCTAGTACTGTCTAATCTCTGTGTGAACAGGTTGTAGATGTGATTGTATGTATAAAATATAGCATATTGTGTTAGTTCATTGGTTTTCTATCTTAAAACCAAAATGTTAGCTCTGCCAAAGAGGAGAAATGAGAACAGCACAAGGAAAGGTTCTGAGCTCACATTAGTTCTTGTTTTCATTACTGGCTCTGTTTTCTGTTGATCCACTGTGTAGGCTCACACTTTATGTTCTGTGGAGTTTAATGTCATGGTGTCTGGGGCCTCTCTCAGTTTTTATCCTCCCACCCTGCTGTTCATTTAACAACCTAAATGACATGATGGTATCAGGTCTGTCCTGGAAGATGCTTCTTTATCCAAATCGTTTTTACTGCTGCTAAAGTTGACAGTAATATTAACAATAGACCCGTTCCAGATTAATGAGACATTTGTGAAGAACTAGTTATGGTATGCTGGATATGCTTCTTTATCCAGGGGGCGGAGAGTTAAAGTCAAACTTTAACAGATTTGAGTTGTTCTGGTCTTCACTGCAGCTGCTTGTGCTGGATTTGTGTGGATTCATTTGTGGGTCATTGCAGTCAGCTGTGAACATCTGTATCGAGACTTCACATAGAAAAGGCAAAAATGCACCAAAGACAATTGGATAATATCCTTGACTGTGTCCACTGAACAAACTTAAATGACCTTTATTTTGCATGCAAACCTTTATGGAGCCCTCTTAGAGATAATAAATGGGAAAAGTAAACACATCACAATGCCCTGCTTCCTGTCTCAGCGTTTGTTTTCCCTCCACCCTTCCAGGTCCCATGTGTAGCTCTGGGTGCAACCTTTTTTTCTGTAGAGACTTCAACCCCTATAAATCTCTTTGTTTGTCCCAGGTGACTCAGCCCTCCAAGGTGTGGGGAGAGGTCCCGCTGCCAGAAGACTTGGAATCAGAAAAAAACATCCAGGCATCTCGGAGTTTACTGGACGATGATGAGGACTTTGCAGCTGATGGAGCTTCAGGAGGTGGGCTTTGCTAGAAGATGCGTAACCACAAACCACAGCAACAGCTGCCCTTAATTCACTCGAGTCATGCTTCTAATTATGCATTCCTCCGTGTGTTAACTCATCCCAAAACAAGAAAATTAGGAAATATTGCTTAAAGAACCCCAACAAAAATCCTGTAGTTTTTTAAAAAGGAATATAGCTCTCCTGCGTATTGATGGTGTTCTTATTAAGTGAACAAAATATGAGTTTTCCCTGGCCTTGAATCTAGCTATTGACCTCATTTCTACACTTGTGTTTTGTTCTCTGAAGACCTGCCGAGTGGAGAGGAAGATGGCAGCACTCCAGATCCTGACAGCACAAGTAAGAAAGCAGAAGTTGTGAACTGAACAATTCTTTGTGAAAGATTTTGTTTGTGGCGGTAGATCACTTATAGATCACTTAACTCTTTGAGCTTCCACTGTTTGTGATTCAGACTTATTCATGCAGTGTGTGTGTGTGTGTGTGTGTGTGTGTTGTACTTGCAGCACGTGTGTCTGAATCTTTAACGATGATACCCTCTCATCTTTCTGCACCCTCTCCTCCCTCGTTGCCAGAGTCTGGTCATAACACGGGCCTGAGGCTTTGTCTTTGAGACGTAAACACCTTCGCTTCTCTTTCATCTTTTTAACCGCTGCAGAGGTGACAGCAGAATAAGATCCATGAAAGCCTGATGAACAATAAAAGCTGCTCCAGAGCGCCTCTGTTATGCAATTAATTCACTGCTGTACTTTTTTGGGGCTCACTTTTTTTCCTTCCAAGTCACGAGAATTGTTTGCATGTGGGTGTCTCATTATGGCACCAAAAGCATAGTTTATTCAGTTAAATCAAGCTTGATGGTTTAATTCTTTACTCATGTTCAGGACAACTCTGATGCACAATTACACACTTTTTGTTCAGGGTTCATGTTTTTATTTTTGTCATTCTGTTATGACTTTGTTCCCACTGTAGATAATCCTAACACAGTTTGTAGCTTCAATTGAAATTGTTTGATAGAGTTCCTCACAAGTTTTTTTTTTTTTCATTTTTTTACACCCTTTTACCAGATGTAACCCACTGAAGAAACATTATATGGCATAAATTATAACCCCTAACCCAATAATTGTCCGTCAGGTCATGTGGACAGTTTCTTTTTTGTGAAGACGTTTCGCCCTCTATCCAGAGGGCTTCATCAGTCTGAGGAGTCCCAAGTAAACTGTTTTCCTCACTAAGCAGTGCACTCCTTTAGTGGACCAACCAGTTTGCTGGTGATAAGATGGTTTCTGGGGGCTGTCCTGTCGCCCGTCGACTCCTCCCAGGCAGGTAGCCACAGCCAAAGTGGGTCAAGACATCAAAGTTCATGCTCAATCATCCAGGTACAAAATCCAATAATGGTCAATCAGGTCATCAGAATGATGAAGCCCTCAGAGGGCGAAATGTCTTTACCACAAAAAAGAAACTGTCCAGATGACCTGACTGACCATTATTGGATTTTGTACCTGGATGATTGAGCATGAACTTTGATGTATATCTCTCAAGTCACAGTAGACTAGCAGACTAGAATTGTGTGCAGGAGCACATAATGTTAAAAAGGAATTGAAACAATTTTTGTGACTTAAATCTAAATACCTGCATCTTCCCTGGGTCCAGTGAGGACATGAATAGTTAACATGAACAGTTTTAGGTGCATACATACTCAGGATGACGCTTTGATCCTGACATTTTTGGATACTGGAGACAGTTCAGACATTTTGAAGTGGAATTCTGTGGAAAGATTATGTGCAAACAATATCTTAGCTGTTGTAGATAGCTCTTTGAACAACCTCAGTTTGTAGAAATACGAGTTTAACTCTGACTGGACTGACAAAGTAATGGCAAGTTTAAACGCAGCCAAGGCTGAAATCAAATCTGCCTCAGTGATTAAAATTTAAAGCAATTCACACAAACTGTTTTCTAAACATTGAAGCTGTCAGCATCACACTTTACTGTTCTGCACATAGAAGTGAGGGCAGTGGTAGGGAACTGTAGCACCTCTGGAGCGGCCTGAGGTCCCTGCTTGGAACTGTGTTGACGAGGTATTAATAGCTTGTCTGAGCAGACCCACTTCCACAGAGGAACTTGCCATTTTAAACCAACTTCAATCTGCAACATTTAAAGCAGTTCCTGTGCTTGGTAGTCATTTAGTAAAGAGGAAGACACAACGTCACTCAATGTATTTTTTTCGTAGGCTTAAACATTTAGCAGGTGGAACTATTGTTGCTGTTTCCAAGCAGCCCAAACCTATTTAAGGGGCACACAACAAATGAAAATTGTATCTATTACACCAGTATATTTGTTATTTTTCTCTTTAACAGTGTAAGTTTAGAAATCAGAGAGGTATATCGTTGCTAAAAACAAGGATTTTCATCAAGGATTGATAAACCGAGTTAAGTCATTGTGTTTTAAATAAACATGAGGGTGAGGCATGTATTCATATGTTTAATGCTCTGAAGCTCCATGTCAACCCAGCTGAGGTGAGTTCTCTATGCCTTGATGCTCACATCGCCTCTATAGGCACATGTCGCTGCGGGACTGGTGTTGTGCCTAAAAGTGATGGTGAATGGCAGGAACTCTGTAACTCACTGTTTCTGCTGCTTCAGTTCTTGAAGCAAAGCAATATTTTATTTAAATTAAAATATATTTATTTGTATGCTCCAGTATATAGCAAAATGTATGTCTCCGTTTAACTTTTTTCCTCCAAAAACAATGTGTCATCAAAGTGTCAGTTTGATGCGTCTGTAGTTTATTTTTAATATCTACAAATTTCAATAATACACAGGTTTATGGCAAAATAAACAAAGTTCTGGTGATTTGGATGTGGTAAGCTGGTTTATATTTGAACCATACTGTGTCGCAACTGTACTCTGGTAAATGCAATGCTTTGCAATGATTTAAGTATAAAAAAAATTAATCATTGTTTTAGCATTTATTCTGTTAATTATTTTGTTCACTTTGCTTTTATTATTACCAGTTGTGCATTTAGTGCCCCCAGTCATGGAGTGAAGAGGAGGAGATGTTTTGTAATATATACACACGCACACACACACAGGTTTGTTTTGCTATCTTTGTGGGGCCTTTGCATT